ATCACCTGATCAACAGTCGAGGCTGCTAGCAAATAAATTAAAGCAAGTCCAGGTATCATGAAATCCTTTGTTTTATTCCATGTTACTTAATATTGTGCTGTATCACGAAATTTTAACATTTTCTTGAATAATTTTTGCTAAAGCTGTAAATCTAGGAACATGACCGCCTGTGGTATCGTATTCAAGCTGCACGCTGGTTAGCTGCAGCTGCTCGGAAGCCCGATACGCGATTGGAGGCAATCGAAGAAACTGATCGAGTTAGAGAAGTACCAACAAGTAATGTTCTGAACCCGAAATATTAAACTAATTTTCCATCTAACCTCAAAAATTTGCCTCATTAACGTTAAAATCAGCCTCCGCTTCTCTAACCTCGTCTTTTCTGTTGTTTGCGAGGCAGGAATCACATACCACCACTGACACCAGTGGCTGGCATCATTGTCGTAAATGAGAAAAATTCTACAAATACAAAAGTTACTCAACCCCAAATTTGCTTTCTGATCACAGATTTTTGACCATTAGTAGTAATACCCTCATTCCGGTCAAAATTTCGATGGTTCATTTTCTTTAGTATCTACATGGAAACTGCTGACTGAACGGAACATTTAGAGATTGGTACCTTAGTGAAGCCGGATTTCCTGGTCTAGTAACAAGTACCCTTGTTGAATGACTGGTAAATATGTTAGTTAATAAATAGCATTGCAATTAATTATTCTGAAAATTTATAGTTGAAAGGACAATCGAATTTTCCGCTCGCGTTTACTCGATCTCGAAGGAAAGCAACAAAGTTACCCTTTGGGTAAGTTTCGAGCAGCAGCTGTCACAATTAAAATTCAAAACCCCTTCTGTACTCACCCTCAGCGGGAAACACAAGCACTCAGAATTCGTTCAGTTCTGGCAAGTGCCAGCATCAATTGCACGCTGGCAAGACCGCCGACCACTTCCTCTTTCGTGGATTGTTCAGAAGTAAACTGATTGCCAGTTTGACTTCCTGGCATGCATCATTGTCAATTTACCATAGAAACGAATGAACGAGTCGTGAAGAGACTGGTTGCCCCAAAGGCAAATAATTGTACTGCGATGAATTTCCCCTACAATGTTTATCACCACACTTTTTATAAATTTTTGCAGATAGTTTGCTTTATTTTAATTCTGACATAGTGTACCTACTGAGTTTTCTATGTAGACTTTATCATCCTTAATTAAAATTTTGATAACTTCAATAATTTCAGGTTGTCCGTCGTGGGCCAACTGAAAAACCACTCACTTTCTGCTACGCAACAAAAAACGGTGTTGCCAAAAGAGATCTTCATTTTTTGCCGAAATCCGAGACTGTTAGTTTTACTTTCCAGATTCGAGTAGTAGAAAACCATTGAGTAGTACTATATTTGGGTAGCAAGAAATATCGGGGAGCGGCATTGTTATTAAAGTAGGATACGTATGGCCTTTATACCAGTAGACACAGTACGTGCAGGCTGAGCCGAAAAAGCTCAAAAAAACAGTTTGAGCCAAATTGAAACTAAGACATGAGGTGCAGACTGAGCTAAACTATAATCTGCAGTCTAAGCCAAACTGCAAGTTTGAGGATCGGTCAAACTATAAGATGCAAGCCAAGCAAAAGCGAAAGTTGCACTGGGCAAAGTGAAGGTTGCGTGTTGGGCCAAAGTGTAAAAGCATAACTTAAGTCGAAATGTAATATGCTTGTCCAATTCCACAATTTTTGCCATGGTTTTGAAGTAGCTCTCACAGTGTCTGCAGAAACAACTGGAACTGAATCTTTCGCAGTAGAATCTCATCGGAAAAAATAAAAAGTTCCAGAAGTGCTTTTTAAGATTACTCAGATCCGCCTTAGAAATCTTCCTCCTCCCAATTTCTTATATCAATTTTCAGTTACAAAATAACATTGCATGGCGTGAGCTGGACCCCACCCCTTACTGCTACACCCTTATCCCATCATCCTTTAAAGCCTCTGTCATACAAATATCATAATATGAGGAGAAAACTGCCGATTAATATACAAGGCAGCATCTTATTATGCATGCATGTACTGATAATACAGTTATTGCGACTCCAGACGCTCACCTCAGGAGTAAAACAGATAATATGCAGATTTTCTTTCGAAAACGCGAAGTGTCTGTGTGTAGCACCAAATTCCTCAACTCCTTCTTCCAGCTTCCGGGATTTCGGCAAACTCCAAATCAGTGAGTTTAAAATAACACTGTAAGGCCAGGAAGTTCCATATTGATTGCAGCTACTTGATTTATTTAATAAGCTACTTGCCATCAGTGTTGATTTTTCATATGTTTAGGTGCAGTTCCGGTCGGGTGAGTCTGTCAAGGAAATTCACGTGGATCTGGTCGAACATGCAAAATGGCGGCCCAATCACGTATTCTACGTCCACCTCAGGCTGGTCAGAAATTTAAAATTTTACAAAGGACGCACTTACCGTACAACATACACCTCTGTACTTACCGTAATCAACATACATATTGCCCATTGTGTGTGTATGTATTTTACAAGTATTGCCAGAATTCTGCTGACTTTTTATTGTGAGCATTAGAAAACCCACTTATGGAACCTATGACGCTGCAGAATGCAACCAGATACCTATGGTACTATATCTCCGGTCGATATGACTACAGGTCCCGTATGTAAGCTGAAAGTTGTAGCTTTATGTATGCTATTGGATCCTGGCATGGATGTCGCTGTAGAAATAGCATAGCTGTTATGCAAGAAGTTGATGGTCGGCCTCCGCCATGTAGAACAACCAATCTTTTTATGAATGTTTCATTAGTTACGATGGTGAATTGGTACTGGAGCATGTCAGGGAGTCAATCCCACCATCAGCTTATTTCTAAGCAACGCTAAAATGAGGGAATCGTAGAATCTTTCGCATTTGCTTCGCACCGACTACTTTCCAAGTGTCTCCGCCTTTCGTAAAGAGCGAGTGCGGAGAAGGTTTTGACTTTTGATTAATAAAACGCGATCCGGTCAAAGGGCAACTTTATGCATAGTACCGCAGTTTGCTCCCAAAATTTCAGCTTCCTAGCTTTCGTAGTTCTTGAGCTAAATTTTCTGAGCAGACGTACAATTATATGAAAGTGCAGATATGGCTCGATATTAAAGGGTCTTTAATTGCGTAAATGCAAAAAATTATGAAAATAAGTGCGAGGCGCTGGGCACTTAAAAGAAATAGAAGAGGTATTTGTTTTGCTTGTCTTCTCTCGAAATTTACGAAACTTTTCCTGAAACAGGAACCGGTTTTTTACAGCCACCAAACAATAACAACAGCGAAGAGGGAAAGGTCACGTTAGGCCGAACAAGCGTGGCAAGCGTACGTGTCCCCGATGACTCAGCGAGTTTCGCCGGTGAACCGATGGTGCAATTCGTCAAAAATAATTATGTGAGCTTCTTGTTTGTACTTTCGTCCCTAATAAGTCAACAAGGATGAACCTTTCTGGAGGCTTAATTCAAAAAGCAAGCTGAAATAAGGCCACGTGTGCGGGAAAAACCAATTCCTCCTCATCTGAAATACCTGAAGTGGAGCAGAAGATAAGGGGTCAATCTAAGTATCAGCGTGCAAAAAGATATGTTTGGATGCAATCTACTTTTCATTCTTCGGTTCTGAACCAGCGCTGAGCGTAACATGTGGGTAGTTGTGGAAATAATCAGTACAGCTTTATACCCGCCATGTATACGATCAGCATGTGTCAGATTGCACAAGATTTGATTAGACGAGGGGACAGCTAACGAGAAGAGGAGAATAAAGATGTGAAAATAGAGGAAAGGAGAGGGGAGAACTTAGAAGAACGACACTGTGCTGATGGCAACTTTTCCAGTTGATCTGACCATAATGCATCGAATGCCGGTTAGCCTACCGTTGAAAGGGCTATTCTTTTCGCTTACTAAAAAAAGATTAACAGCTCAGCAGTTTCTTTCGGTAGAAGTTTTTGATTGTTTTAACGACTTCCAACTGCCCTTGGTTTATCTTGATCATCAAAATGTCATCTTGAACGCAACCACTCGTGTACCTATCTTGCCAAACAGTTAATTTTACTTTGATGATTTTGATTAAAGGTGGTGAAGGAAAGCGAGAAATACGTGCGTGCATTTGTTACTCGATTGGGACGTCACGATGAGTGCACATTCAGCGTCCGCTACGAAACCGAAGCAGTGACTGCGATAGGTGATAAAGATTTCAAAACGATCAATGACGGCGAACTGGTGTTCGTTGGAAGCGAATATGAGAAATACATTGATGTGAGAATATACGACGATATGGAGGATGAGAAAGATGAAACCTTCAAAATCAATCTCTTTTCCTCAACAGGAAGTAAATTTTTTCACATTGGTCATTACTTGGTATGGTGAGGTTTTCCGTTTGTCAGAAACTAAAGCCTGCCACAAACTTAAGGCCTAAATTCAACAATGCCTGCGTTTCCATTTTCTTCTGTACTTGGTTCCATTGACTCATTTTTTTGAGATTTGGAGATTAGCAGGTCAGAACTGCATAAACCTGTTCTGGCATAATCCGGTAGCTGATCTTCTGAATAGTTGCAGAATTTTATAGTAGAAAGCTGCAGTAAAATTAATTAGAACTTTTTCAATGGGTTTTACATCTGATTGATTTAGTAGCGATTGTCTTCAGATGAATTTCATGTGATATATATTTAAATTAGGTTCCCAGTTGAGTTCTCTGAAAACTTGCTCCTGTTCATGCTGCTGCATCCGTGAAATTTTTTGCATTCTAAAACAACTATCACGTTGATTTATCGCGTTGCTTTTCTTTAAAAAAATAACTGGATAAAACAGACAAGAAGATAAACTGAAGCAGATCAAGAAAACTAAAAAGTATTTTTGAAATATCAGTCATTGTTTATTAATACATATGCGATTAAAAGATGTTCACAGATTGTTTAAAGGGTAACTTTTTGAATAATAGCAGATAGGACAGTGAGGAAAGGGGCCAAGGCTAAAATAAGTTTAAGTAGACAGTGGGAAGAGTTTATCACGTAAGAAATTTATGGAAATATATTATAATAGAGAAAGAAGGGAAATAATTGAAGAGGAATAATTCGGTCCACTAAGCTGGAAACAAGCGTTTAGTTCGGTATACATTCCTATCCACTGCCACAAATTTTTAAATATGCTGTCGCTATTTTAGCAGTAACAATTGGGCCTCACAAGCGTACTACTGTAACAATTATTTCTGATGATAATGCCCTGAAGAATATAACGAATATTCGCAAACTGACATCGCATTATTTAAGGCAGATGAGCTACGGAGCCGACACATGGCTTGGACAGGTAACGGATTTGAAATTTTTTTGACATACAATTGGTCAGTAACTGATAGAAGTTGATTTTACCACTTGAAGTGCCAGTGCATCAAGCATACCTGAAAGGCAGCCATTTTCTGTAAAAAGAGGTAGTTACTGTGTGGCTAAGGCTAGGTTATGCAAATTTTTGTAAATTTTTTGTTAAATCTGGGGCGGGAGTTGAGTGGCATATACTTTCAAATTCAAACCGTTGATCCAAATCTATCACTGAGAAGATCGGTTTTTCTACCGCCGTTAGTTTCGTTTTAATGACAAGTGACGAAATGTGGTAGTGACGTGCGCAACGAAACAAAAATCTAAGCTTTCAGCCTACCCCTTACTCATTTTGATGAATCCTGCAAGCGGATGCTTGCGCTTAGCAGCCTTTTATTATTGTTAGTTTTATCAGCTGCTTTTAATTGTCCTGGTGCAAAACCACCCTTACTACCAGTTTTTTCATGCTGATAATCACTTGATGGCAAGGCCATCAGTGTTTCATTTTCTAGTGTACGATATTAAATGGAAATGATGTTCCCACTTTTTACTTTGCCGAGATTAGCCGTCTGGGTCAATCCATGTTAGCCGTCTAGGTCAATCCTGGGCAACAGTTCCTGGGTCAGCAACTAGTAACTAGTCTAACCCGTTTCATCAGGCTTCTCATAAGTGTGTAGCATTTTTTTCCCTCAAATTTCCCAAAAGTTTCTCGCGGAGGTCTGTTTGATCCCACAGTTTGGACGATCGGCTTTAGGGAACTTCATATACAAAGCCTGTCCTGTAACATTAGTTTATCAGTTCTTATTTAAAATTCTGAGCTATTAGATGTAATATAGGCGTAGCTTTTAACTGCAGCAACGAATTTTTAGCTTATCGAAGCGACAAGTGTAAATGCAGGCGATATTGAGAATGCAACATTTATGGATTGCATGATGCATATTTTTTCATTCCCTTGGAAAATTCTGGGAGCTCTGGTGCCACCAGTAAGCATTCTTGGTGGATGGCTTTCCTTTTTCTGCGCTTTGCTTTTGATCGGTTTCATCACTGCAGTTGTTGGTAAATTTTGCAAATTTCTAACTAGAATTGTTATATTATTACTAATTTCTGGCTAAAATCGTGATTTTATTGGTATTACTGGAATGCTACCACTTACTGGCCTCAGTTACGCTAGTCTCAGTAACGAAAGGCGTTGGCTGGTAGGTGCTTCCCAGAAATGCCACTAAAACAGGATACCCGCACTGATTGTCTGGATGGTCCTAACATTTTCTGGGTATAGTTCGAGTATCAATGCTTTTACGAAATTTTTGACGCAAAATTCTTCCGAGAGTTACTTAGGAGATTGTTCAAATCAATAACAGACTTCCCAGTACTATTTTATTGCCAAAATGAAACAACAAATCATGCGAAATTTCGCGTTTGCATTAATAAACTTGAGTCAAAGTCTTCTTCCAAAGAATACTCATCAGTTACTTCGTCAGCAAGATTTAGATTTATCGAGCCCCAAAAGTGTCAAAATTTTGCTGCTAAATTGGGCTGCTGGTACTAAGCTAGGTTAAGGTATATTCGTTCCAGTGCGTCAGTTCAGCCTCCTCCGAGTTAATTTTGTTAGTAGATCCAAGCGTAAATGCGCCTGTTTGCTTCTGCTTCCAGGCGGTGACAAGAGTCCTCCCGACAAATTTATACATGAGTCAGATTTATTCGCGAAATTTTTATCTGATTCTTCTCATTCATTTCAATAATGCAGCTTTTGTATTTTTTTTTTATCGTGTGGTATAAGTCGCTGATGTTCAGGTGATTTGGCAAGTATATTTGGTTGCATGGTTGGTTTAAAAGATGCGATTACAGCGATAACCCTGGTTGCTTTGGGTACCAGTCTGCCTGATACATTTGCTTCGAAAATTGCAGCTGAAAGTGTAAATTTTTGATTCTTCTCTAAAACCACTGTCGATTGTAGGGCAAAATACCGGTGCCTACAAAGTTTCAGAATCTTACTTATTACTTTAAAAGAAATGCGGGCAAGTCGATTATACATTTATGGGCACTTCTCCGACCATACCGTTTTTGTCTTTCTGAAGTACATAGCCTATTAAGAGCAGATCCAGCAGTACTCAAAACTTCCCAACATATTGTTTTTTAAATTTCGGCGAGTATCTGTTAAACGTAAGTTCGATTGCAAACATCCGTCCTTTATATTTCTCCTCTCCCACCCTTCCTCCCCGCCCCCTCAGCTCTGCCCAAACCTCCTTTAATTCTTTTCTCATTTTCAAATCCTCTTTTTTGATTCAATGCTTCCTCTCTATCACTACCTTGTGACTTAGCTCAGTACAGGAGATTTGATTTCTCCAGATCAATTTATGATATATTTCCAATTTATTTCTATTTTAATCTCGCAGGCAGCATGCTCTTGGCAGCAGTGAATGTATGCCTTCTGAAGCGCAAGCGCCAAAGTGCCACTATTTTAAACACTGTGGATTACTGAGATAAAAACTGTTACAACTGTCACGCTATTTTACCTCATTTTTTTTACACTACTGTACCTTATCAAAAATATGCAGTAAAAAACAATTATAAACTGATTCAGGACACCACGGCGGACAATGCAGTTGGTAATGTTACTGGATCGAACGCAGTCAACGTGTTTCTTGGGCTTGGCTTGCCATGGACAATTGCAGCTATTTACTGGGCAACAAAAGATCAAGTTTTCGTTGTAAATTCCGGGAATTTAGGCTTCAGGTTTGTGGTCTGCAGTCAGAGTTTCTCAGAAAAAATCTGCCGACAGTAATGAAGGATTTCTGAGATAATGGCAGAGAGGATCAATGAGAAATAGGCGAAAGTTCGAAAAGTGTAGGTGGTGAGTGAGAAAAGTTAATTATATATGAAACTTGTATAAATATTATATGGTATTGAATGTGGGGCACAAAGCATGACATTTGCTAAATAGGAAATTCTTGGTTTTAAGTGCTAGAGTTTTTCTCTCTGATCTGCTTTTGTTACCAAAATTACAGTCTCAGTCACAGTTTTATCACAGTTTCATGGATATTCACTGTTTATATCCCTGAAATTTCCATAACACTTCAGCGTGTCTGTCTTCATGGCTACGACGACAATTTGTTTGGCTCTACTGGTGGCCCGACGAATGCTGGCATTCTTTGGCAAAGGCGAACTTGGCGGCCCAGTTGGACCCAAAATGCTTAGCTTTCTAATTCTTGTTCTCCTATGGTTAGCTTACGTATCTTTGTCGGTTTTACAAGTTTATGGTTACGTTCATGTTTGATATGTATCATTTATATGAATATACATAGGACTTTTCTCCTAAATGCTTCCAGATGTACTGAATTAGATCAAACTAACCTGAGAAAAGTGAGATTATTCATGAAAATAAACAAAGAATTATAGCTTATGTGAGGCATAAGTGAAACACAATGAAGGCTGGAACAACCGGCAAGGGAAATTTTTAGTATTATTTGATACGTGAATGGAAGCTGGGGCGAAAAAGGGAGAAAAGCAGCAGTCGAAGTCACGTAATGAGGGATACTCATGTATCAGTAGGACATTTAAGTG